TGGCCCTGCTGGCACCCACAGCACTTGCCACCACCCTTAGGAGTGATCCAGGTGGGCACCAGGTGACAGCCGGGCACCCAGGAGAATCCGTGGGGCTGGGGAGCACCGTTACCTGCCAGAGCGTGGGTGCACACGGCGTCCCGGAGGCACTCGGTGGCTGGGAAGTGCAGGGTGCTCCCCGGCTGCACGAGGAGCACGTCCCCCTCTGACACCTGCACAAGACCCCAGAGGAGGGGGACGAGTCACAGGGAGCTCGGGGCTGTGACCTTCCCCAGGTGGAGACAACTGCCCTTGTGACAAGCAAAGCACTGTCCTCCTGGCTGGAGGGGAACACGTGGGAGCCCCCATCTCTCAGGGAACCCCCCTCCTGCACACACCCCAGCGTCAGCAAGAACAGGGACAGCCATCCTCCCTGTCCTGCTCTCAGCTCCTGGGATACTCCTGTCCTCCTGCTCCTTGAAAGGGGTCCCAGCAGGTTGGGGACACAGGATAGGGTGGGAGTAGGACAGAAGCATCCTGCACCCCAACACCCCACTGCCCTTGGGGAGCCTCTCCCAGCTCCCCACTCCCTGGCGAGCCCACCCCGGGGGAGGTGTGACACCCACCTTTACTGGGGGCCTGGCAATGGAGTAGAGGAGGAGAATCCCTGAGACCAGCACCCTGGCCACAATGCCGTACTGGATCTCCCAGAAGCAGAGCAGGAACGTCACACAGAGGGGCACGAGGTCCAGCCCTACAAGAGAGATGACCCAGGCTCAGCTGTCCCTTGTCCTCATGCCCCAGGGCCCTCAAGGACAATGCAGAGCCAGGTGACACTGGGGGACTGACCACCCCTGACTCGTGCCCTCACTCTTAACCCTCCAGAGCGTCCTGAAGATGCCAGCATCAAACATGGGGACCACAGCCGAGATGATGACGGCGGCCAGCGCCGCTTTGGGGATGTAGCAGAAGAGCGAGGTGAGGAACGCCAGCGAGAGCAGGACCAGGGCGCCTGCGGGAGACGGGCAGCGCCTGAGCCAGGGGCTCCCCGATGCCCAGGGGGTTTGGGGGGAGCAGTGCTGGGCATGGGGCCTGCAGAGCAGCCCATGGTGGGGTTGGGGGGCTCTACCTGTGACAAGCCCTCCTGCCGGGGTGCAGACACCTGATTGCGC